CTGTTTAAATAAAGCAGATTACGTACTTTTTGACATTTGCCAGTGTTTTGATCCCAGAGGGACCTGTGGGCTGGATTCTCACCCCCAAGCTGCTCCTCCTACTTCCTGCTGCCTGTTGATCCCTGGAAGACTGTCTCCCAGCCTCCAGCTGAGTCCCTTCAGGAGAGCAGGGATTCAACGCGCCCCCTGCAGGAAAAGCTGTCCCATGACAGCTGGAGCAAGGCTGGGTTGAGTTCTGGGGGTGCCCCTGGCCAGGCATCTCCCATGGGTGGCTACCAGACTCAGACCAGTTCACTGCCCTGCCTCCCCACCCCCTGACCTATGCCCCAGGCCATTCCAGGTTCCCTGTCCCTCTTACATGCCCCCAGGGAACCCTTGGCACCATCTCAGAGGCTTGAGGGGCACCTCCTGAGGCTGCAGAAGGGGGCAAGGCCATCCCTGAGGGCTATCCTGGCAGGTGGTGTGCCCCTCTAAGGCTTCCTTCTGAGCATGGCCTCCAGCCACTGATTCAAAACCGGAACTCCACAACTCACAAAGTGGTCACCTCCCGTGCATTTCCAGGGACAAAGCCAGGATTTTATTACCATGGAATTTTGACCAGCAAGGGGGCGGGATACCAAATTAAGTTCCAAAACTTCAACATGTGGACCCTGATAACTGACTTTGTGAATGGAAAAAGCAGGGCCGGTGTTGCTGTGCTTTCTGTGTCTGCACCCCCAGGACAGCAGATGCCCAGAGTCCTGGACTGGCGTCTGTGGCCCGCCCACCCTCTCTCCACTCTACTTCATTGTGACTGTGGTGTGGCCTTGGAGGGGTTGTGGTGAAAACTCCAAGCTGCCCTCTAACTCCTCCTCCCTTACCTTCCCACAGCTGATTCAAGGTAGCAGCCACCCTGACCCTGTTGGCACCTCCTCTCCCCATCTCTCACCCAAGGGCCACCCCCTTCTGGGTGTCTGTGAACATGGATCCACAGCAACCTGACTGGACAGCCAGCCATCCCCAGGCACCAAGGGGTGGCAGCTACTGCTGTGCTGAAACCCAGCCCCTGCTGCCTGCTCTCTTTCTGAAGAGAACCCCACTCCCACCCATGTTCCAGCCCTGTGTCCCGGAGCTCCAGTTTCTGGGAGAATCCATCTCTTCAGGAGATGTTGGGGCATCACAGCTGCTTCCTGAGGGGCAAAGGGGGATCTGGCCCAAGAGTTTTGGGTCCTGTACCTCTATATCCCCTACCTCAGGTTCTGCCTATTCAGGGGGGTTGGGATTGGGGGGTTGGGACTGACCCTCTCACATCTGTGGGGACAGATGAGGCTCCAGGTCTCAATGAGGGCCAAGTATGGGCATTACCAGTTGTGGTTCTAGGACCTACAAAATGTACCTGTGTAGGCCAGAAGCCAAATGGGGCTTCCCTCTTCCCCTTCACCCCCGAGGTGAGGGCTCAGTGAGGCTCCAGTGCCCATCTTTGGGAGGAGACAGAGAGGTCAGCAGCCAGTGGCACAGAGGCCAAAGGCCTGCTCTCAGTGTTCCTTGGGGTCTTGTCCCTGCTCTGATGACCACCCTGGCCCTTCCTGACACCTGGTGTGCTCTGCGTGTTGGGCCATGGGTGGGGACCCTTTGTCTTCATCCCATGCTTGCAAAGGATGCCAACCGAGTGCATTTTCCTTGCTCCCTTCAGAACCCGAGGTGAACTTCCAAAGGGCTCTTTTGCCCTCTTGTGGCATATTGCTGCCAGTGGGAGTCCAGAAAGTTCCCTGGCCATTGGCTACTGGAAGAAGGGTGCTGCTTCTAGCTCTTCCTTTGTAGCACTCACAAACCACTCCAGGGCATTCCTGACAAGGCCACGATCAAGGGTCAACACTCAACTCCTCAAAGTCTGAAGGAAGCCAGTGGACCACAGGGGGATAGAGTGGAGCACAGGTGCCCTCCCTGTCGGAGCCCATGGGCAGCGGACACCAACCATGGAAACCTCCCAGTATGGCTCGTCCATTCCCACAAGAAATGGTGGCACAGCTGGTGGAGTGGCTCAAGTGGTAAGAGCACCTGTCTGGTCAGCATGAGGTCCTGAGTTCAAACCCTAGTGCTGACAAAAAAAAGATTTAACCTTGTATGCAATCCAGATTGCATCTACTATAAAGTGGTCCCCTTCTACATATGGTTTCACTTTTTGTGATTTCAGTCAAGTACAGTACAAAAATATTAAGTAGGGATTTCAAAAATAAAATCTCGAATTAAAAAAAAAAAAGAAAGAAAAAAGAAATGGTGACACAAGGGACAAGGAGGCTTCCTGAATGGGCAAGGGCAGAACAAAGTCACCAGGGGCTGAGTGGGCTGGGCCATCTGCCACAGAGTCACATGACTATCAGGAGAACTCAGCTTACTGGAGTGGACACAAGGCTGTCATCATGACCTGAGCCTACAGTCTCCACCCATCGTAAAGGTGAAATGGGGTTCTACCAAGTGGATGCTCAGGTGGTCAGAGCTGGGACAGAGGCCTGGGTCCCTAGAGCACTGACGGCAGTGGCAAGGGCCACTCTGGTCCTGTTAGCCTCTGTGGTTGTGCTCAGATTCCTGGTTTGGGGCTCTCTTTGCAGAGGGGCTGGCTTCGTGTGTGAACTTTCCCCAGTGCACCAGCATCTGGCTTCAGGAAAACCAAAGCCCACAGCCAAGAAATCTGTCTTCAGAGCTCTGATGCTCCTCTGGAGAGCTGGGGTCCTGGCAGGGAGGGCCTCACAATAAAACATACCTCAAAGGCTGTATGCACAGGGCTGGGCAAACTTCCTCCTGTCCTTGGGTCAATGAGGCCCAGGTCCCCAGGCTGCATGCAGGTCACATGTCTAGTCTGGGAGAAAACTTGCAGGTTCAGAAGCGGTTTCTCCAGCCAGAAGGTGCCCTACCCAAGAGAGAGGCATGGGGTTTGTTGTTCTCTGGACGGAAATTCAGGGGCCCAGGTAGTTGTGTACCAACTTTGGGGACATTCCAGTTTCCCCAGAGCTCCTCATGAGGCCTCTCCAGCCCAGCGGGATGTGGAGTAGACACAGGGGAGAGGCCTGGTCACCCGGGAACAAGCAAGTACAGTGTCCCTGTGTCGAGCTAAGGCCTGGGCAGGCGGGGGCACTGTACATCCTGGAGTTGCAGCAGCAAAGCTGAGCGAGCTGCCAGACGTCTGGTTAAAGCAGCTGAAAAGAACTGTACCAGTCATCTATGTCTTCAACTGCCTACCACCAAGGTAAGAGGCTCACGGCACCTAGCAATGGCTGCCTGGTGTCCATTTTCCTGGAAGGATGAGTCTTTACAAGTCCACAGTAGGTATATTTTTAGTTTTACAAGAAACTGTCGGGTCCTCCAGTCACTGCTTCCCCACCCCACCTTCCTATGTCCTGACCCAGAAGCACAGATGCCTTGACTGCTCTGGGGCACCCAGCTGCAGGTTTGGGCTGTTGATATAGGTATTAAGGTTGTTGCCTAAAATACTAACTGGCCCCAATTGTGAACCGAACCCCCTATACCCTTATGTGGAGTTCATAGCCAGCCTTCCTGTGGACACACACAGGAAGGACAGCCCTTTTCCTGCTCTCTGCCATGGGGACACACTACAGCCCCTGCATGAAGTTTCCCTAATAAATGCTTGCGTTGACTGCCCTGGTACTTAGCATGTCTTTCACTGGAGTCCCAGCTGGTCCCACCTCGGGATGGCTTGGGGAGCCCCCTTGTAAGAACACAGCTGATGCCTCTTTTGGTGCCATGGCAGCTGCAGGTTCCACCAGAGAACAGAAACTGTCAGAATGGTTTCCAGAGTGGTGTGACATGCGTTCCTACCAGCACCATGGGAGTCCCAGCTGTTCCACGTCCTCACCAACACTAGATATACTTCTACTGTTACCATGTTAGTGGTGCTGGCCTCCCACCATGATCTAAGGTCCATTTCCCTGTTATCTACTCACACAGGACAGCCTTCCACGAGCCTACCAGTCACTTGCATGTCATCCTTTTGGTAGTAGGTTATCTACCATCATTGTGTCATACTGCTGAATTTTAAAAAATCTTTCCATGTGTTCTAAAGAAAGTCCTTTATGACCTAGATTACTCTATTTTCTCCTAGTCTGCCTTTTCATTTTCCTAAGTCTCTTTAAAAGACCAGTTTTTACTTTTTGTTGAAGTTCAATTAATCTTTTCTGTTATGACTCCTGGTTTTTTTTCTTTTTGAAACGGGGTCTCACTATGTAGACCAGGAAAGCCTCAAACTCACTGCCTCTGCTTCCCAAGTGCTGAGATTACAGGTGTGAACCACCAAGCTCAACTGAGTCCTGCTTTTGTGGTTCTCTTTGCCAAATAGCTCACTGTTCCAGTATCACGTGTTGTAGGGTGTTTCTGGGTTTCCTGTTCCCGGATCTGTGTCCATCCTTGCAGCATGTCACACTGCCTCCATCAGGATTACAGTAAGCCAGATGGCTGGTGTTCACTGGCAAACACGCCTGGTCCTGGACACGGTGGGCACTGTATAGCCCCGCTGACAGCAGGTCTGAGATGGGCCGTCCATGCCAGCGCAGCAGCCCAGTAGTCACCTCACCAGCTGGGGTCATTCCCGCCCCTCACTGTCCCTCCTGCTGGGGCGGAGGCCGGCGGGGGGAGGCGCCCGAGCGCCGGGGTCGCGGCCAGCCTGGCCTGGCGGGACCCCCTCACCCTCGCGCCCCGCAACCCCAGCGCCCGCTGGTGACCCGCCCCTCTCGCGGGCTCGCCTGGACACCGCGCGACCCTGACTCGCGACTTCGTCCCGCACCGGCCGGCGGGACAGTCCTCGTCTGTCTCCACAGGACCTCGCCGCCCCCGCCGCGCGCTCGCCGAGGACCAGGGAAGAGCTCCGCGACCCGCAACCGCGCGGGAAACCCGCAACTGCGCTCCGGGGAGAGGCGCGCAGGCCCCGCCCCATCGAGGGTGACGCGCGACGCATGCGCAGGGCGGGGCCTCGCCGTGTTGCTGTGGTTACGGATGACGCGTTCCGCACTTCCGGGACGGAGCGCGACCGCCGGAAGTGCGTGGCCGCCGGGGCCATGGCGGCGCTTTGCGTCGTCTGTCTGCTGCTGGGGACTACGTCCTGGTCGCCGGTCTCGGCCTCGGGCGAGGAATTCTGGCCTGGCCAGTCGGCGGCCGACATCCTGACGGGGGCGGCGTCCCGCAGACGGTAAACGCGCGTCCACGGCACCCGCGGCTGGGCCGGGATCAGTGGGCGGGGCGCTGGAGACGAGGTCAGCTGGAGGGGTCCGTGGGGCCGGGGTCACTAGGAGGGGTCGGTGGGGCCTGAATCAACCGGAGGGGTCGGGGTTAGAGGGCGGGGCGGTGGACACTGGGTCAGGGGGCGGATCAGTGGGGTGGGGGTCAGTGGGTGCTGGGACGAGGCGGGGGTCAGAGGGCCGCAAGGGATCAGCCCCCATCCCGGGGCCAGGCGTTGGTAGATAAAGCCCAGCTACCAGGAGCCTGCCCTGCCTTCCCCGTTGGGAAGGGGGAGCTGGCACAAAGCAAACCCTGTGTTGCGGCCAGACATGGAGATGCCGGGTACTCTGGCCTCACAGCCCCTGCACTATGAGGTGAGCCAGGGACCCAGCCACGCCAAAGCCCATACCCAGAGCCATGCTGACAGCGTGTGAGCAGAAGTCTGGCTGCCCTGCCTGGTGTCATAGATGGAGTCTTCGGAGAAGACAGTGGTTCTCAGACTCCAGGGATCCTGAACTTCAGAACGTTTTGCTGGCATTTCAGGACACTCCTTGCCTTTGTCACTGTTCTCAGGAGGGCACCGTGGAGTTTTTCCAAAGGCCACTTGACCTGCAGTATTGAAGCAGACCGAATGCAGAGCACGAGAACTTTTTTTTTTTTTTTGGCCAGATCCAAACAAAGTTACAAAAAGAGAAGACATGGCCGCACTTTTCACAAGTTATTTTTATTTTGAAAATACACTTATTTTCATTTAAAATGTTATCTTTGTCAACATGTAATGCAGTCATTGTTACTTTAAGTGAATTAAGGAGTACTTCCAGCTTTAATTTGTAACACAGGAACTAGGGGTAGATTTAGCTCACAGAGCAAGTGCCCTTCAGGGTCCCGGCCTATCGGTGAGAGCATAAGGGGTCTGGACAGACAGTATGAGAACACTGAGCATTGATGCTCAGCTCAGCCCTGAGGTTACACCTGTGGTGCAGGTTGTTTAACCTGCTGGGGTGTCTGCCGTGTGTACTCATGGGCTTTGCAGGTAACTGCCACATGGAAACTGTCTAGCAGCTGCCTCACTGCACACTAGAAATGGTGGGAAGCATGCAAAGTCGAGTGACACCCTGAGACCGTGTGCTGTGCGAGGCGTCACAAACTCAAGAGTCATGTCCTTTTTCTCCTCCCAGATACCTTCTGTATGATGTCAACCCTCCTGAAGGCTTCAACCTCCGTAGGGATGTCTACATCCGCGTGGCCTCCCTGTTGAAGACCCTGCTGAAGACTGAGGAGTGGGTGCTTGTCCTGCCCCCTTGGGGCCGCCTCTATCACTGGCAAAGCCCCGACATCCGTCAAGTCCGCATTCCCTGGTCCGAGTTTTTTGATCTTCCGAGTCTCAATAAGAACATCCCAGTTATTGAGTACGAGCAGTTCATTGCAGGTGAGGCGAGCGTCAGGCTGCAGGTGGTGGGTAATGGGCCAGCCAGTCCTTTCTAATGTGGACCACAGGCCAGCCTGGCCCGGCCTTGCTGGCCTGCTCCACTTGTCTAGCACTCTCACCTAACTTGCTGCAGTACTCACTCTGTCAGGGCCCCATTTCCTTTCCCAGACTTCTAGCTGCCCTCCCATAGTTTCTCCAGGGAAATAGGTCTGAAGAGTATGGATGGCCGTGACAGGCTGCTAAGTGGGCAGGTGTGCTCAGAGCTTCACAGGAAAGTGGCCAGCCCTGGGTCCTACTCCACCAGGATTTCACTCTCTGGGACAAAAGGCCATGTTAACTAAAGGATGACGCTGTGGGTTCTCGCTGTAGCATTGGCAGGCATTCTATAAAGGAACCTCTCGTCTAATGCCATGCTGGCTTTTCCTCCTGTTTGTGCAAGGGGTAAAGTTAGTCTTAGAGCAGGGCATTGTAGCTGACCATGGCTTTAGTTGGAAGATGAGGATTTCAGAGTAAGGGATCCTTCTTTCTGCTGCATTATTGAGGCCCTGAGGAGGAAGGGGGGCAGTTTCCAGTTGGGCTGTTGCACACTGCGTGTGTTGAGTTTTTGCTCTGCAGCAACCTCTGCTCCCTGCCATTGTGGCTCCATGTGGTTCTCGCTTCCCTTCCTTGTCACAGTTGTGGGAACGCTGGGGACTTGAACAGTAGGACAGTCTTTGCTGATGTTCTCCTTCAGGCTGCAGATGCAAATTCTGAGTGTTGTAAAATGCACACTTACAAATGTACCCTTCCCAGCTTTCAAAGTTGCTCGTAGGTTTTGGAAAATGAGCTGCAGTTGGGGCTTTAGGCCAACTGGACTCAGCCTAGCAGACAGCCCTGTCCTTGGCCTGAGCTGGGGTAAGGGCCTGAGCTCCAGTAACCTGGAGAAGTTGCCCACCCCTTCCTGTGGGGCAGGGCTGATGGGTTCCTAACAGTGGAAAGGGCTGCTTTCCCTGTTCCCACCCAGCCTCTGGCCCTCCAACTGGAGCAGGACTGGGAACCACATGGGGAAGACCTCTATACTGAGCATTCCTGAGCAGATACACTGGCTGACTGAGATCTGCCCTCAGCTAGCCAGGACCTTGCTGACCTGCTTATAGACAGGGCAAGGGTGGAACTGCCAGGAGGCTGTGCCAGAGCTGCATGCATGGTACCTTTTCCCCCATCCCCCACCAGAGAGAGAGGAGCCCCTTTAGCTCAGGTCTCCAGCCCATCAGTGAAGACAGAATTTCACTTGCTGAGGTTTCTCCTAACTGGGTTTGTTCATTCTGCCTTTGGACAGAATTGGTAACTCAGATGTGATGGTGACTCTGGCTAGGTGTGGGAAAGGGGGATGCAGACCTCTTGGGGCCCCTTTTACTGCAGGGGTAGGAATTAGCAAGTGAGGTAGATGGTGTCATGCTGGGGTCCCCCCAAAGAAGTTGGAGTGAGTCCTGAAGGGACGCTGTCCAGGCAGGTCAGCCCCAGCATTGGGTGCAGTAAGAAGATGGTTGAAGAAGAGTCCACAGACAGGTCAGGGAGACCCTGGCAAGCCCTCCTGCTGCCCTCCAAGGCCCAGTGCCCTGATGGCACTGATTCTGCCCTCTGCTCCATAAGCTTCCTCCAGGCTTTTTTAGAATGAGGCACTCTTAAATCAATCAGTGAGAGTCATCCATCTGCACGGTAGTCCTGTGGTGCATGCCTGTGGTCACTGTTGTCCCATGGTCTCTTGGTTTTTTTCAGAGTCCGGCGGGCCCTTTATTGACCAGGTGTATGTCCTGCAAGGTTACGCCGAAGGGTGGAAGGAGGGCACCTGGGAGGAGAAGGTGGATGAACGGCCATGCATCGATCCGCTGCTGTACTCACAGGACAAGCACGAGTATTACAGGTGGCGCTGTGGGCACAGGCTCCCATCAGGAGTGGGGGTGTTGGGGGAGGGGTTCCATTAGAATCCATCCTGAGTGTCCCCCACTCCAGCCCCTGATGTGGCAGGCTGCTGGGCAGCCCATGTTGGTGTAGACCTCGTGCCCTGTAAAGGAACTGAGCCTGTGTGTTCACCACCTAAGACCCAAGAGTGGTTCCCTCCCCTGCCTCTTGCATGCACATGAGCCTGGTGTGGGAATGGCGGCCTGAGCCCTGGACGAAAATCGCCATCAGGGTACTGGTATCAGTTCTCCCCATGGGAAAGCTGCCACTTAGTACCCTCCACATGTGACAGCAATGCACGTGAGGGAGGAGCTCTGCAGAAGAACGCAGCTGTTTTAATGACAGTTACCTTTGCTCTGCACTGGGCTGTAGCTGGCACTTGTGCCTATCTCTCCCATCACTGTCCTATCTGGAATCTTGAGCACAGTGCAGTGGACATTTACAGTTGTTTCACAGTCTTCTCACCATGGCTCTGTCCTTAATCAAGGTCCGTGAGTGGACCCTGAGAGAACAGCACCCTCTTGTGCGTACACATTGTCGCTTACCCTGGCGAGGGCATGCAAGCTAACACCAACAGGTGTTTGTCTTCCAGAGGATGGTTCTGGGGTTATGAAGAAACCAGGGGTCTGAACGTCTCCTGTCTGTCTGTCCAGGGCTCGGCATCCATCATAGCGCCTGTGCTTTTGAAAAACACTTCGGCTCGGTAAGTGCTGGGGATGCTCCACTCAGTGTCAGCCAGCAAGGGATGGATGTCTGGATGCTGCTGCACGCTGGTATCCAGACATCCCACCAGGCCCCTGGGACCTCTGTCCCCTCCCGGCACTCATTCCAGCAGACCATGGGGCATATACTTTCACAGCTGGAGGGACCCCAAAGGTGTCCCACCCCAAAGGTGGGCTAGAGGAGGCTGCATGTGTCCTGGGGAGAACTCCAGAGAATCCAGGTGTGGATCAGCAGTACCCAGGCTGCTGGCTGTGTGTGCAAGTGAATCCTCTGCTCTCATCCAGAGCTCCTGTCCTGGGGAAGCTGTTGGTTGAAGCCCACAGTGTCACCACTCCACTCCTGAGCCTGTAGCTCAACCTGCAGCTGTGGGCCCTAGAGGCAGGGTTCATACCTGGCTTCCCTCCAGATTCCCCTTTGAGGTCTGTGATGTGTGGTCACATGGCAGGATAAAGCTAGGCCTGAAGGTGGCCTGTGGGAGCGGCAGTAAAGATGTGGCATGGCTGTGTCTGGCCAGAACCTGAGTAGGTGCAGGTATCAGTGAGGATGGGGCTGGATGACAGCATGTGCTGGGTAGAGCCGTGGGCTGAGCTGTGGACTGTGCTCAGCACAGCTCTGTTCAAAGCCCCTGGGAAGCTGCTGCAAATGCTGCCCCTACTCCATTTACTTTCTGTCTCATGGGTTGGGGTGTTTGTAAAGTGCACCCTTGGCCCTGGGACTGACTGGCCAAGCAGGGTGAGGGCAGCTGTTCTCACTCACCACTGGGTGGCAGACTGGCCAGCAAGATGCAGCTCTGGAGGGGTTCACCCAAGGACACAGGACCATGAGAGTGTGAGGCCTGTGTGTTCTTCTTCAAGGAAATGTCATCCAAGAGCTGTGTTCCTCAGGCTTCTCTGAAGGCACAAATCCTTTCTGTCCTCTTCCTTCAGTTTCCTGGCATCCCCTAGAGCAGGCTTGAGCATGTCCCATGGGTCTGGGCACCCCAGGCCACTTGGCCTATGCTCCTGGCAGCCCTTGCTGCTGTGCTCTGGGTACACTTCCCACTGCCTGTGATTCTGTCTGCAAAGCTTGCTCCACTCAGCCTTACACTGGTCATCATGGTGGCCCTCCAGGCCTCCCTACCATTGCGCCTAGCCCCGCTGTGAATAACACATGGGTTTGCTGCTCAGGGAGACCACTGTCAACTATGGAGACCAGAATTCCCAGGCAGGGGAGGAGCCGGGACTGCGTGTCCTCGTTGTTGAGGTTCAGCTCTCATACTGTCCAAGACCAGGTCCTCTGTGTCCAGTACCTGGTTTCAAAAGCAGTTCTGCATTAGTTTTGAACTCAAAGGATGTGTGATCTTGCAGATCACTTTTTTTTTCTGACTCATTGATGGATTGGCATGGAGCTGATCCCAGAGACAGGATTGTGGGCCGATGAGTTCACAATTTAGGAGCAGCACATCTGCCAAGGAGTAACAGGGGATGGGCACCTGTGCAAGGGATGTGTAAAGTCGCCTGCCCCCACCAGACCATACAACCCACCCAGGTAGGTAGATGACCCGGTGGAGAGACTGCCAAGACAGCCTGTAACCTTAGGGTCAGGACAGTTGTTGAATAGGTGTGAAAAGCACTGACCAATTCAATTACATTGAAATAAAGACTTTGCGTCCACCAAAACTGAAGAGACGAGCCACCAGAAAAGGGAAGTGTGGCTCTGTCACGGCACAGGTGAAGTTCCTAAAACTATGTTTGTTAAATGAGCAAAAGACAGGATCGAGCCTTATGAGAGACATGAGCTGCAACGAACCAACGTGCCTGGCATCCTCAGACTCCACCACAGGAAGGTGGCAGCAGGGGCTGGTGGCTGCTGCTGGCAGGAGAACCTGGCGACACTGCTGGAGTTTGGCCTAGGATGAGAGTCCCAGACCTGTGATGCAGCAAATCCATCCATCCCTTATGTATACCACCTGTCTGCCCAGACACTTGCCCGAGACTGTTCATGGCACCCCCAGACCACAGTGCCCATTTCCTTCAACCATGGACGGCAAAAGGGAGTCTTGTGTGTTCAGGACCAAAGCCTGGCTCAGCTAAGAAAACACACAAAGGACCACAGAGTTCAACCAGGAGACATCAGGGCTGACGTTGAGGGAACTATAGGAGAGGCGAGGTCAGGCTGCATTTGTGTGAAGTTCTGCGGCAGGCAGGTGCCGAGTGGGTCACGGTCTGGACATGAACTGCCCCCTAGATCGCCCAGCCTGGCATGGGGGTTGCCATTCAGAGGACTCGCTGGGGAGTAAGGTGCTAGCTTGAGGTGAGAGGGCTTGTCCCTGTTTGAAGGTCTTTTATGACTTTGGCACCTGCCTTGACATGCTTTGCACCTTTGCTACGAATGTGATAAATAGTAGATTTTCTAACATTGATCAGTGTTTGCATTCCTGACGTGGACTCCATTTGTTAAGCGTGCTTGCTATTTTAACATACTGCTGAGATGTGTTGGCTAATTTCTTTTGTCTGTCTGTTTTCTTTTCTTTCTGTCTTTCTGCTGCTCCTTCCCCCATTAGGGCTGCTCGCAGGCTCACTCAAGAGTGTTTGCCTGGCCCAGGGTTCTCCCTCTTGTACCGAGTATTATCATTTTAAACTTTTTAGTCATTAAACTCTTCCTTTTTCTATGATCAAAAATAGGTCTGTGATGTTAGACAGAGCTGAAAACCTACTTCATGACCACTATGGAGGAAAAGAATATTGGGATGTGAGTATTTCCTAAGGGGAATTTCTTTCTGCATGTGATCACATGTAACTTTGTTCGATTTTGAAAATTTAAAGCAGTTGACACCTCTTTTTCCTGACCTTGCTGATCAAAACCATGGGTTCTCAGAAGCTCTGGGCCTGTGGGCTTTCTGCACCCCACAGAGCAAAGATGCTGCATGTCTGGCTTTGCTGCACAGTGAGGCCCTGGCCATGGGGCCAGGAGTTTCAACCTGGTCTTGGGCACCTGCTAGGCACAAGCCTCTGCCTCTGATGCCACAGGCTCTGAATGCTGTGGCCCTGGGTACTGGCCAGTTGTCTGGGAGCAGCTGTCCTCTTTGTCTCTTCTCTTGGCTCTGTCAATAGCCAGAACTGAGAGCTTGTTGCTTCTCTCTGGTTTCAAAAGGGGATGTTTTCTACTATGAGTCCTTAACACTGGGGTCAAGTTCTGCTAGGGGGTGGGGATTGTAGCCCTGTTGGTTTTGAGGACACTACAGCCAACCTGAGCAAGTGTTCAGAGCAGAACCTCTAATGACACTTTGGTCAGGGCAGCAGCCTGTACTGCAGGCACCTGGTTTGCATAGGAGATAGAATTGTTCAGTTCAGTCCTGTTTGGCACAAACAAAAACCATGCACTGAGCAAAGCCTACAGTTAGGAGCTTTGACCTCAAGGTAATGAAGCTGTCCACGCCTGTACCAGCCCAGGGCAGGCAATGCAGGGACCCAGTGCGTGGCAGGCAGCCATGCAGCACAGAGAGGGACAGGTGGAGGGCCATGCTGACTTGGCGCAGGGTGGGCACAAGAGGCACAGAACGACCTGGCAGGGGTTGGCTGAGGGCAGCTCTCCTGGGCAGCCCAGGGGTCTTTGGCTCTGTGGGGCTCAGCTCAGCCCTGTGTCCACAGACACGCCGGAGCATGGTGTTCGCCAGGCACCTGCGGGCAGTGGGAGACGAGTTCAGAAGCAAACATCTCAACTCCACAGATGCCTCGGACAAGGTCCCCTTCCAGGAGGACTGGACACAGATGAAGGTAGCCTCTCCCCTTCTGCTGGAGAAACGTCAGTTACCTCTGTAAGCACCCCAAACTCACCTCTAAATTCATGTCAGCGTGGGTTCGGTGCCCCGCCTCTCCTGGGGACGCTGCTCCATCGTGGTTACACTGATCACCAGGCTGTGGGGGGACCAGCACCCAGGCTGCTCTGACCCTTGTCCTGGACAGTGGAGGAAACTCACTGGGCATGGTTTTCTCTTTAGCGAACGTTAATGGACGTTAGTGTAGCTCCAGCTGCCTGGAGGTTGTTCTTAGTGTAAAATGAGATCTTAAAAAACTGCAAATAGAAAGTGAGAGAAGCCACCAGTCTTGTCAGTGCTTCCCTTAGGACCTGTGCAGGAGGAGGCCACAGAAGGCTGGCCACACTGTCCAGAGGCTCTGCCAGTAACTGTGGCCTTGCATTACCCTTCCTTACGTGTACACGCACTTTAATTTTCACACAGTTCGGGTTTTCCTCTGATGTACTTCAGCACACCAGTGGTCTTACTGAGGGTTTCCAGCACCTTCTTCTAGGGTTGTGACAGAGCACTGCCCTGGAGAGGAGTCCCTCTGCTCTTCCTGGAGCATTTGGGCCGTTCCCAAACCACATCACTTAAGCAATAATTATTAAGTCTCTACTGGAAAGCTGTAGATGGATTTTCTTTTTCACTTTTTCAGTGCTCCATTTGCTATTTTTATTTCACTGAGATAAAAGTGCTTATGATTAATTATTTCACTGTCCTCTTAGACCAGCTCCCCCTGAGATTCTGAGGATTCCTTAGACGTGGCAGGACGTACTGGAGGACACATGCAGACATGCCATCCCTTTGTGTCCCCTGGGCTCCGCTGGGCCCCCTGAACCAACCCGTGTCCTTTGCCAGGTCAAGCTGGGCTCCTCACTAGGGGGCCCTTACCTTGGTGTTCACCTGAGGAGAAAGGACTTCATCTGGGGACACCGGGAGGATGTGCCCAGCCTGGAGGGGGCCGTGAGGAAGATCCGCAGTCTTCTGCAGATGCACCAGCTGGACAAGGTGTTCGTGGCCACAGACGCCATCAGGAAGGGTAGGCAGCTGAGTCCTGACCTTTGCTTCTTTTTGAACCTGGTTGAGTGCTGGGCAGTGTGGACGTGTAAAAACCCTCAGCTCTTAAGTCCTGGAGACAAAGCTGGCAGGTGTGTCTTCGTCTCTGCTGAGGAGTTACCCAGCAGCAGCGTGTGCGGGTGCCCTTGCACACTGAGGCCCGGTCAGCAGCTCTCCTTTGCCTTGCAGAGCAGGAAGAGCTGAAAAGGCTGCTGCCCGAGATGGTGAGGTTTGAGCCCACCTGGGAGGAGCTGGAGCTCTACAAGGACGGAGGCATCGCCATCATTGACCAGTGGATTTGCTCGCATGCCAGGTGCTGCCGCCCTGCCCCCCACCAGATGCTGATCCCACGCTATGCCTACCCGCCCGCCCACCCTGCCACACCATGCCCTCCATGCCCTCCATGCCCCACCCACCCTGGAGATCTCACTCCCCAAGCACTCAGCATACACTGTGGTCCTGTCTCTGTCCTGGGTTTTGCCTCCGTGACAGTTGGCTCAGCGTTTCCTCAGCTGTGGACTGTCTTGCATTCAGACCTCACATGTGCTCAGCCTCCGTGAGGCCCACACTTGTGCTGTTGCTTCTACCTGGCCTCTCCTGGCTGTCCTCCCTTATTCCGGGTCCTTCCTCAGGCTACATGGCCCACGGGCCACATACACTGTCCCAGCTGTTTGCACCACTGCCTCCTGGTTCTGGGATGGGTCACAGGGCAGCTGCCCAACCTCTGTGTGTCCTTGCAGCACTTGTCTGTACATCAGCTGTGGGAAACCCAGGGTGGGTCATGTCAAAACAGTTTCAGTAGAATGGAAGACAGTTTTCATTATGGTCCCAGATGTGCTGCAGCACCCCCATGTGTGTGTCAGTCAGCAGGCTGGGGAGCACTTACCCTGCCTGAGGTGCCCGCTTCTGCCACCTCCGTGTCCACATTCTAGGCACTGGGGCTCCTGCTGATGCTATCCTGGCACAGGGTTCCCACAGGCGAGTGAGGGCTGCTTACCCACTGGGCTGGGCTCCATCCCAGGCAACGCCTACGGGTGTGACAGCTGGACAGGGTCTGCCTTTGGCTGCTCTACGGCAGTTTCTAGCTTGCTACTGGCGTCCTGCCTTTGGTTCTCAGGTGACACTGGGTGTGAGCTGAGTCTTAGGAACGCTGGCTGCAGTTCCTCACATGGTACAGTCCATGCTGGTGGCCCCTTCCATGGCAGGGAGAGGGTCTTCCACCAGGTGCTTCTCCCACTCAGAAACTTGTGGCCTCAACCCACGGACAGCTTTTTGACAGAGTAAAACCCAAGTGTCTCTTGGATCCATTGGTGACTGGTTGTCAGAGAGCCAGAGACCAGCCGTGCAGGACTCAGATGTGTGGGCCATCAGGTCACCCCCAGGGCCAGGAGGACCCTGGAGAAGGGGCTCAGCAGCCCTGGCAGTGTGGGCCTTGGCATTAGAGCTGGAGCCCTGTGCAGCCAGAGTGCCATGATGGCCATGAAGCCCTGGTGCTCATGTGTGGCCCAGGTGGGACGGGGAACAACCTGGTCTGGTGTCGGTCAGGTGTGGCTGAGCCACACAGGTGCAGATATGGAAGGCACTGGAGCGTTTGGTGGGTGCCTGGGTCGCTCCTCCCACTCTGGTCCCATGTAACCTCGAGAACCTCGTTACTTTGCAGGTTTTTTATTGGTACCTCAGTCTCCACATTTTCTTTCCGGATTCATGAGGAGAGAGAGATCCTGGGGTTGGACCCCAAGACGACATACAACCGATTCTGTGGAGACCAAGAGAAAGCCTGCGAGCAGCCCACGCACTGGAAGATCACATACTGAGGACTGCCTGTGCCTGTCCGACACCTGGGGGCGGTTCTGTGCCCCGAGACCCTCTGGCATGGGCCCAGAGGAGACCTTGCTCTTGGGCTGCAACATCTAAAGCCACCTGAAGCCACGCTGTACCCATGTGTCCTTGGGCCAGTGTCTGCCTGGGGTGAGGCTCTGCTCCCTGCAGGGACCAAGGTCCTGCTGTCCGTCAGACATGGAGCTGCATCCTAGATACAAATGACGCTCATGCTGAGGTGCAGAGAGCCTGCCGGGCTCACCTCGGATGCCTCAGCGCCTGTCCTGAGCAAGTTGAGGCAGGCGGCCCCTCAGGTGGAGTGGAGCTGGTGGCTCCATGGGGCACCTGCTGGCGATGATCCAATGTCACTGGGGTGACCAGAGTCCTACCCACCTTCCACCTAGCGCAGCACCACAGGGCTCATACCCTCTTGGGGAGGAGAGTTCAAATCCTGCTCTCTCCTTGTCAGTGTCTGCCAGGGGTCTGCAGTGTTTTGCTCTGATCATGTGGGAAGGTCCTGCAAGCCTAGCCCGTGGCTCTCCTGTCCCCCAGATGGACACACGTGGGCCTGCTGGTCAGTCACATGCTACTGAGAAGTAGAAGTGAGAGGTGACAGTCATACCACTTCCAAAAGCCACGTCTGAGACCCGCTGCCCTGGCAGGTCACTCTTCCTACGCTTTACACAGTTCCTCCCTAGCCTCATGCTGCCACCGCGAGGTGCCTACACTGCTGGAGGTGGACAGGCTGGGCAGTCCCCATGCCCACGACCTGCCACCCTGAAAAGATGTTCCCTTCAGGGACTTCCCCCAGTTCCATGCTGAGCAGCCCCTTACCTCATCCGCTGGTGACATGGCGGCACACACAGGTGAGGAGGACACTCTTCCCTGGGCAGACCTGGCTGGCTTACCCACCACGGGTCACCTTCCCACTCGTGCTGAAGTGGATCCCAAGTGACAGGGTCCTGCAGAGTCACTCAGAGGCAGCAGGGTGGAGTTCTGTATTTATTCTGTTCAATTTGTACTGCATCCAAATGTTAATAAGTACATTTTCTAGAAAGCTCTAATTCTGCAGCCATGTCTTCTTCCTACCTTGAATTGTCTGAGGCTGAGAGTGACAAGGGTGTTGTGGACACTGTCCATGGGCCTCCCTTTTAAGGACATTCAGCTGCTAGTGGCACTTGATGTGTGTGTGTCTCATTCCTTGTCACCTGGCAGAACAGAGGACCCTTGCCAGGTTTCCCAGAGGGCAGATGGCGGCCAGGTGAGATGGGTCAGGGCCGGGCAGCCTTGCCTGATGTGGCTTGGGCCTGCTTCTGCAGGGACTGGAAAGGCCTTGTCCCTGTCCACAGCAGCCGGCCTCTGCTCATTGGGCATCTGCTGTGAGGGCTGCTGAGAAAGAATCCCACACCTCTGGATCCACCATGTCCTGAGTGCCGGGAGGCGGCAGCACGGCCTTTGTGAGATCTCTGGCCTGGGGAGGTCTGTGTGTTAGGTGGGTGACCGCTGCAGTGACAGGACGCAGGGGAAGTGTGGCCTGGGGCTGTAACATCGGGAGCCTTCTGGTCTGCGGTGGGTGGCAGCACTGGGAGTAAAGACCCTGTCTTGATTCCAGAGCATCCGGGAGGAATCTGGGTTAGCATTTTTGTCACTGTGACAAGTGTCTGAGAGGACAGTTTAAAGAGGTTCAGTCAGGTGTTGGCAGGATCTGTTGCTTTGGGCCTGGGACGAGGCAGGACCTCATGAAAGCAGGAACGTCTGCAGCGGCTGCCCGCCTCGTGGTAGCCAGGAAGCACAGTGAGTGACAAAAAGGTACCTCTGTGATCAACCTCCTCCAGCTAGGCCCCATCCTAGTTCCCACAACCTCCCAAATAGTGCCCCCGCTGGTGACCATGAGTTCAACACATGAGCTGGTGACCATTTCATATTCAAACCCTAACAAGTCCTGAGGGCCCGACCTTTGGCAAGTAGGAGGCTGAGACTTGGTCCTAGGCCAGATAATTGCTGAGCCCACAGGCCACAAGCTAGAAGCTGGGGTGCCAGGGAGGCCCAGGGGTCAAGGCAGTGAGGTAGCGGATCACAGGGCCCTGGCCTCCAGCAGCCACATCCCTTCTTCGGGGCCTGACCCAGGGGCAGCCCCGGGGACCGGTTGCACCCGTCCTGTGCACCTCTGACTGGAAACATGGGCTCTGGGACCAGGCAGGGGACTCCTTGGGGGAGGAAGAGGACTGGCATGACAAAAGCTCCCCCAGGCCCTCATCTCACATTGGTCAGGTGGCTTTTGCAGCCTTAAGTCCCTGCAGAACCTCCATCAACCACATGGCATTCCCCACCCCGCTTGATTGAGCGCAAGGTAAGGCAGAGCCGGTGGCCACCGGGCATCTGCTGTGAGGTCTGCGCCCTGGACAGCTGCTCTGCTTCCAAACTCCCCCTTGGAACATGAGCACATGGGCTGGGCATGGTGGGCTCGACCGTCTTTCCTGGGAACCTTGGGGAGATGGCAGCAGCTGTGGCATCAGTGTCTTCCCGCAGCATGGGTGCCACTGTTTGGAGCCACCGGGACTGGCTGACCACCAGATGTCACACGGACGTGGCCTCTGGTGCCTACTGCAGCTTCAGCAGGTGCTCATGGCCGGCATCTCCCTTGTGGCCCCAGTGGTCCTTTTCCTGCAATGAGGGGCTTTCTGAGTGACCCTTCAACTGGGGGTGTTCTGGCAGGGGCGGGGTGTCCACCCTGTAGGTCAGGGATGCTGGACCACCCTGTGCTGCTCTTGGCTTCCCTGGGTGTAGCCACTCGGGCACCTCCTGCTGGTTCTGACGGGAGCCCATCTCTAAGCTTTCTGAAAGGCCACTGACCTCTGTCCTATTTGAGGCATGGTCACTTCCAATTGGCTTTGTAAGTCATGTTTGCCCTCCTTGTTTTCCCTACTTCGGCCTGTGTGACAAGCCAACTCTCAGGTGACCAGGAATGTGGTGGACTCTGCTGCGGGCCAGATGTGCCGGCCTGAAGAAAAGCCTGGAAGGAGGTCTGGAGCTCTGTGTTTATCTGTGGCCATCCAGCTTCCCTGGAGCCAGTGCTCACCCAGACCGAGCACTGTGCACTCCGGCCTGGGAAAGCGAGGGCAGGACTGGGCTGGGCAGGCAAGACCATGGTAGGGACCCTGGGGAGCCACTGGGTGACCTTGTCATGCATGGCCACCTGAGTCCACCGGGTGTAGCTGAGGGCCCTCAGGCCTGGCAGAGCTCGCTGGACCACAGGTCACCATGCCCCACTCCTGCTCCAGCATTGTGCTTGGCCCAGGGACTGACCAGCAATCTTTCTGCAGATAGGTCAGACCTGACAGGGCAGGGACTGGCCTGGGGACCCTGAGCTGAGCTGAGGTGACAGTGGGGGAGCATTTGGGAGGGTAGGTAACCCCAGAAGAGGGTTGGTTGCCAGGAGAAGGAAGCCCTTGGGCGCCTTCCCTACCTGCATGCAATCTGACCCGGTACTGTGCTTGCTGCCCACTGTGGTCAGGCTCCTGTTCATGCGGTGGCCTTGGTGACTCATTCTGCTTGGTCTTATTTTCCCCATCCGTAAGATGGAAGCAAGAGGCAGCATACAGGTCCGCTCCTAGGCCAGCACTCTTCCAGCACTTTCTATGACCAGCCCATCCTGCTAGAGGCTGGGGGAGGGGGACCCAGGATAACAGCCACAACCAACCCCAAGGCCCCTGAGCCTGGCCACACCATCCCTGCTGCCTGCCCCCCACCTGCTCTGCAGTCCCCATGGTGATCAGCTGGCCCTGTGCCCAGATGCCAGGAGAACTTTCCTTTTCAATATGGCTCCATGCCCGGCTAAGGGAAGAAGAGGCAGAGCTTTCCTGGACCCTGGTCGCCACCTGTGCCAGGAGACCCTAAGACCCCTAAGGGGTAAAGAGGCTAGTGCTACCCAGCCATCCTCATGATTGCCCATGTGAGCTGGGCTGACAGGGAAGCCCAGGCTGTGGATGGCACCAGTCCTCTCCAGCAGGCTGTGCTGTGGGCCCAGCCTCTATGACTCACCCAGGCCCTCAGCCTCTATAGAAGCATCCTCTTGGCCCTATCCCTGCAGGTCACAGGCCGTCTGGGATCCATGCATCTCTCCTATCAGCTGCCCAGGGCAGAGCCTTAGTGGTGTTTGCTGCATGGTAGAAATCTTAAGTCCACTTGGGGTGGGAGCTGGTTCTGAGTCTAGGGCCAAAACCATCTTCCTGTTTGGAGAATGAGGACAGGGAGCGACACAGACAGAATGGTAGGGCCGGGGGTGGCATTGAGACAGGTCCTGACCCTCCTCCTGTGCAGGCCCAATCACACAGGCTGGTGTCCTGTCTGGAAGCAGAGTTTGATCAGGGCCCTGGCTGCCTGGGCTCAGCTCTGAGGTCTGCAGCCTCTGTCCTGCCCAGCTCCTAAGATGAGCCCCAGCAGAGCAAGACCAGGGTGGACATGTGACTGAGTCCACAGCCTATAGGTGGAGCTGCTGCCTTAGGACAAGGCCCATGCAGAAGGGCAGAACCTAGGGACAGCAGAGCTGACCTAGCCCTCACTGCTGGTCCCCAGGACCTACGAGATGGGCAGGTCGAAACCATGGGTGAGCGGGGCAGGGTGGAGGCCCGAGGGCTCCCATGGCCAGCGGCACCATGGAGGTGGACACAGCACTCCCTGAAACAAGACAGCTGCATGAAGGGTCCCCCATTTCCCTGAGATGAGAGCTACCTGCCCTGCAGCTGTCCCCCACCCTCAGGCCAGGAAGCCTGTGGCTCCTACTCCTGAATGGTCCCTTTTGCCCTGACTGTCCATGGACATGTCGCTTGGATTCTCTTTGTCCCAATCCTGAGGCCCTGGCCTGGCCTGGCCATGCTGCTTGTGGATTGACTTGTGTCCTTAATATGGTGTATAGGGCCCACAGTCTGTGTGATATACCTGTGACCTTCCCTGGTACCTGTCACCTCCCACTACCTGTATGACTTCCCTAGCACCTGTGTCACCTTCCCAAAACATGTCACCTCCTCAGTACTTGTGTGGCCCATAGTTTTGGACACAGGGTCTTTGCAGATGGCATTAGATAGATCCCAAACCCAGCACCTGTCTCCTGGGAAGAGGAGAGACCCATGGGCCTCTCACACATGGGAAAGGCTGTGTGACGTTGGAGGCTCAGGTGGAGTGATGTCTGGGCCACCAGAGGGAGCCCAGCCCCACGCCGCCAGCCTCCATGACTTGGAGACAACAGACGGTGGTGAAGCTGTGTTTCGGGTGCTCTGTCACAGCTACCCAGGGACGGCTCCTGCAAAGTCCTGGAGGTCAGGCTGAGAGGACATAGCCCTCACATACCGGTGCAGTCTTGTCCTCACAGCTGGAGGCCCTGTCTCCAGAGTCAGTGCCAGGCAGGAGCAGCCTGGCCCTGCATGGCCCCACAGCTTGCCTCCAGGAAGCAGGCAGGGCTCGTGATTCCCTCACTTGCTGTGGATGCCGGAAAGCCAGACCTCGTGTCTAGGCGTCTGGCAGTTCAGGCCCTGGGCAGGAAGAAGCACAGAGCAAGTCTACTACCTGGAGCGCAGTGGATGGCAGGTGACCCCAAAGGCAGTGCTTCCAGTCCAGGTCCACACCCCACAGCTGCCCACGTGGTCACTCACATCCCATGGTGGTCAGGAACGACACTTGTGCCGTTTGGTCCCTGAGGACAAACCTCATCCATGACAAAGGGGCTCAACCCCAACAGATAGCCTGGGTCCTGGTTCCACAGAGGTCCTCCCAGGAGAGGGACCAGCACGGAGGAGACACAAGCTGGGTTCTCCCCGATGAGGAAACCCAGGGGGCTGCAAGACCCCGGGAAAGACCGCCCATGCTTGTTCCTGTGCTGCAGATAGGAGATGAGTGCTCGAACTGACATTCTCAAATGGTGAACTTGTGAATCTGGGGCAAAGACAGCCTTTGACTGTCCTGTCTCTCTCAAGAGAGAGGAGGGGAAGATGCCCAGCATGGCCCAGATCCTTGTGGATTTGGTCACCTGCACGCCTTATGAGGTGTCCCCATGAGAGGCCGT